CAATCTGATCTCATACACGTCTACACAACGTTCACCAGCCTCCGCCAACTTGGTCAAGCAGCGAAGAAAATTGGCCACCACCGCCAGGACCAGGCCACCTTGGCTCAACTTCGGCATTGATGGACGCCGAAGGTGCGTCTGACGCGAACGTAGCCGTCGCCGGTAGCGTCAGAGGTGTAGTAGGTCCTCGTAGCGCTTGACCCATAGTTCCAGCACTAGCGACCGCAGTACCCCCTTGATCGAGATTCCAAAGACCCGAAGTCGAACCAGGCGTGGCGGCAAACATGCCCATGTCTGGGACACCAAAGTCAAGCTCTTGAAAGAATGACAATGACAAGTCATCGTTCGAGCCATCCATCGTGCTTGGGAAAGGCCATGGGTTACCAAAGTCTGCTCCGTCGGGTAACAGTGACGACGATGGCAATATTGATGCAGACGGAGTCGTCTTGAATGTAGAATTGCGATCAGATCCAAGCGCGAAAGAGGCCAAAGCTGGTCCAGCATGCGCACGTTGGGCACTGTGAATGTTGCGCGTCGGCGGTGGCGTGCCTCGGTGAGGTGCCGTCTGCGTGTTGAGCGACCTTGAAATACGTTGGAGCACATCTGCAAAGCTTTCAATTTCGTCGTCTTCTTCTCCGCCATCCATTTCTTGTGGTTGACCTGCAGACAACAAATGTCGAGCAGCACGTGCCATTCGTCGAGAATCCGCAGCTCGGAACAGTCCAGCAATAATCTTGCAGCCTTGCTCTACGACCTGCTGCAGAGAAGGTGCCGAAACGAGATGGCCTTGTGAAAAGATTTCCGCCGCCAAATTGAGCGTGTCACGTTTGGCATCGAGCTCGGGACCAGATGCGTCGCTGTCGATAGCTTGAAACAAGTCATTGAAAAGAACGAGGGTGGCACCTGGGTAAGCAAAAGGTTAGCATCGAGATCGTTTCACCTCGAGTGAGCGATGACGGACCCATGACCTGAGAGAAAGATTTGTCAGTAAGCTTGTTCGCTTAGAGGTGGACAGCTTGACTGACATGCGAATACGTGTACCAGATGTCGATCGTCGCATGCTGCACGTTGTGCTTTGACACAATGACGGCCCTTGCGCTTTTGAGGCATGCGTCCTGCGTACTCATATCGTCAGACATCGTAAAGTACAGCGTACAAACAAGGCTCACTGTCGAGTATCGATATTTGGGTTGCGTGTAGCCCTGTCAACAAAAAGTCAGCGCATGTGCAAAATTTCTCGGGTCACCACAGCTCACTCGAGTGGAGAAAGGCCGATGTAAACGGAAAATCTGCAGCAAAAGAGTTCAGCTTGCCAGATCGACATGATGCACTTTGAGCACTGACCCTGTTGTGAATGCCCTCGACAGCAAAGTATCGCTGAAAGCGAAACATTGGCTGTTCGCTCTCTTCGGCACTGCTCTCCATTGTCCATCTGTCGGGAAGAGACTCGAGGCTGCGATGACTTGCTTCAATCAGCGAAGCCTCTCTGAGAGGCTTTGCTGACTTAAGGAACTCACATTGCCCGGTAGCCTTTGTCGAGCTCTAGCACCGTCTCGTACGTAAAGTCTTGAGGTAGAATGACGGCGTCAAACACTTTTCTGACCTGTCTTGCTGTTGCAATTCGTACACGATCGGGTGTTGAATCCGTCAACACAGCTGTTGGAGCTGGATTGACTTTCCAGTCGATGCCGCTCAAGTCTGCGTCATTGAGGTTCAACGGATCGTCCGTGTCATAGTGACGAGGTGAAATGAGGTAACTGCGATTGCGGAATGATGCTCCCAACCAATCTTGATACACGAGCACGGCCCACAATCGTTTTGCCGTTTCACGTTTGAGACTGTTCTTGCCTGGTGGTAGCGCAGGATCATCGGGCGGTGTGACTTCTGGATTTGAGCCCAGTTGATGCAGGCCGAGGACTTGAGCAATTCGAATGGCGACGGCGAGCCAAGTGACGAGCTGCGAAGGTTGACCTCGCGTTGGAGAACAAAGTTGTAGGTATTGCGTGATGAGAATGATGGTCTGAGCAATCACGCAGGTGAGCTTGTGATATCAAAGCTGTCCTGAAAATTGGCATACTCACCTGTATCGTGCGTATTCTTGGCACAGTGTCCCACTCGCCGAGCACTAGCGCGCGTTGTGCTGCCGAGTAGAAGCGCTCTGACATGGCTTGCAGGCGTTCGCGTGAGTACGCTTGCAGTGGACTTGTTGCGAGAGAGAATCTGGGGTCAAGAGACAAAGGTGAGCGTGCCGTCGAGGCTCCGTCTGCGGCAATGCATAAGACCTGTCGAGAAGAGGGTTAGCTGAGAGAAAGGCTATGTCTCCGTGGGCTAGGGCTTACCATGAGCAACACAGACACGAACAGGGGATCGACGTCGAGCTGACGATTTGCGTCACAAAGTGCTTGAAAGCTGTCGAGCTCAGTCATGAAAGTGGGTCCGTGCAGAGTGTGAAACAGCCAGTTCACCGGGCCAAAATACAACTCGACGAAATATGTCAAAACTTCTGTCGGAGGAAGCACACGCAAGATTCGTTTCATCTCTTCTTGTCTGGCTTGCTCAATCTCGCTCGCGGAGGCGTCAAAGTCAATGTTGAGGCGCGCTTTGGCGTAGGCTTCGCTCATGGGTTCGACAGACACGATGGACGTCAACGCCTTTGTGAGTTCTGTCGGAGGTGCACCAAATCGTCTCGATTGGCTGGATGCGACGGCGGACGGTGCCGCAGTCTTTCCATGTATCGCTTTCGAATCTTTGGCTCCAATACGAGAACCAAATACACCGTTCTCCAGATTCACTGCCGCGTCTTCTGTGTCACTGTACGTCTCTTCTTGCTTGTTAGGATACTTGGTTGGCGTGGTGGCCGCGACGGTGTTGTTGATGGCAATGTTTGGCTGCAAGGGAGCGAACGAAGCCAAGTTTGGTGGCAACGTTTTGAGATAGGCTTCGATGTGCGCGAGACGAGCGGCCAGCTGTTCGACCTCGGCTGTGCGAGCGATCGAAGGTGGCATGATACTGTCTCCGGCGCTCGCAAAGATGTCGTACACGCATTCGCCAGTCTTGCCTCGTCCTGGAGTCACGCAGTTGTCAGGTTCGAACGAAGGCGGATGATTGCATTGTTGGATCTCACTTGTGCATGGTCCACAGTTGGGCATCTCTCGATCACACTGTAGAATTGACAACTGTTAGTTGTACATCTCACGCCCATCTGCACAGTGCTCGAACCAACCTTGATCTTGCGCCTCTGCGTCGACGCGAAGCAGGCCCTGTCAGCAGCGTAGGTGACGATCATTTCATCGCAAACTGACCTTGCACTCTTTGCATGACAATGCCATTCTATTGCGTTTGCGCTTGCGGCCATCTTGATCGTCATCGTCGCCGTCCTCGCTCGACTCGGCCACGGATCTCGCTTGCTTCTTCGTAGGCCGTTTCCGTTTCAGGTCAGTCGGCGCTGCTGGAGAATTCGACCCGCTGGCCACAAGACCGGTCATGGCAGGCACGTCGAGCCGCGCGATAGAGTTGGGGCCTGAGCTCAAACGCGATGACATCTTTGGGCCGGCCTGAGTTGAGGGTCTCGAGCGCGGACATTGCATGTGTTCTCGGCGTAGCATGTTCCTTGAACCCGGATGCTGCCGAAACATTACGCTCCAGCGTCCATCTGTTCTTTGACGGTGTCCGCGTGAGCTGTGCTGCTCGCTGAACGCTTGAACATTGGCACTTTGCTCACAGGCTCATCTGCCTCATGGGTCTCAATCTGATCTGGACGGTTCAGAAGCCGTCTGTTGAGCCTACAGGCACGCGACCGGTTTCCCAGTCGATTGCTCGAACCTACATGTGCAGATTTCGATGAGAAGCCACCTCTGAAGCAAGGTTCAACACTCAGAGGTGGCGCAGCGCTGTACAACGTGACGATCCAAACGCCACGGGGTACCGCTGTGAGACTCCATTTTCGGTTTACAGCATACTTCATCTGGTCATGTTTCGAGCGCTGATCTGTCTTTGTCGCGTGTCAGAGATTTCTAGGCAGGTGGCGTTAACCACGACGCACGAATGTTCGAACGCTCGAAGAACAAGTGTTTGGCAGGAGATTCAAGACGCAATACCACAGACAGATAACTTGCTACTGAGTTTGCATTGGAAGAGAAACTACGGCGACAAGTGGCAGCGGAGCAATCATCTGGATTCACTCTCTCTTGTTATTTTTTTATCTACGAGTTGCTTCATTGCATTGCCACTATCTAGACAAGCAACTAATCAACCAGAAGAAAGGATAAAAAATGCTTTACGCACGAAGGTTGCCGTTTTTTTCTTTGAGTTTCCCATTTTTAACTCAAGGTAGTGTCAGTGCAATGCCGCTACATAGACAAACAAGCAAGCAGACGATCCGAAGGACTCGTCTGAAAAAGTGGCGTTACGCACGAAGGCTGCCGGAAACCGACAGTGTGGGACTAGCAGTCAGAGGAAAACATTTCGATTCTGACTCGAATGATGTACGATTTTTGTCGCCGATTATCAACGCCTCGGCTTTGTTGACGTTGAACCGACGTTCTCTAAGTTGAGCCAATACACGGTGAGCGCGACCGAGTTTGCCCACGGCACTGACCCCGTAGTAGAAGGGTTTTTTGGGTGCACATACGATTACTTCGTCGAAAAGTTGTGTCATTGCAACGCTACCATCGAGACCGGCAAATCAACGATCAGGAAGAGTCAATTCGACCAGCCAAACCAATCTACTGCTGTTTGTAAAGCCTTTCCAAATCTGAAATGGACTGCTGCGGAAAAATGCTGTTTTTTTTGTATCAAACCCAAAGCTTTGCAAAAATTGACTAGTTGAAACTACGAAAATCTTTGAAAAAGAGAACTTTGACAAACTCCCCGGACCCGATGAAACTCTTGTCAACTCTGTTGAACATTTCCTCTTGAGCAACCGAAGTGACCAACGCAAAATTCGGTTTTTGTGGCATTGACTTTATATATCCACTATTAGGCTGGGTGTCAAGCATCCGGTCGGCTTAGCTCAGTGGTAGAGCGCGCGACTCCAGTCAATGGCTTTATCGTGCGGTCAACGGTTCAATCCCGTTAGCTGACTTTCATTTTTTGTGGAGGTTGCTTTTTTTTTCTTCGCGACAGAGCTCACGGTCTCGCCTCTTAAGTTCTCGCAGTGCTGTGCGTCCCCTCCCCGGCATTGTTTTTTTTATTCTCTCATGATAGCTGCGAAACGAACAAAGCCACTGGACAGTTCGCGCAGCAAGTTGCTTCCAACTTTCGCGGATACGATCGACGTCTCATTATCATCTGAGAGCATAATAGAGGATGTACGCAGATTGAGCTCCTTCAACTACCTTTGGATCAACCTGAGTCACCTTGGAATCACCAATGTTGTGCCACTCTCGACCGCTTCTAACGAAAGCGGTGCTACGGAAAACACCAGTCAGCTTCTGATTGAAAGGCACCATCGCGGTCAACTCACTAGTGACCACTGCTGAGATTGCCATAGTGATTTGTGACTCCAAACAGATCGTAAACCTTACCCTTGGGCGCCGCGCCTCTTGAGTCGAGCAACGGTGGCGGCAGATACTGCGTCAAGTCTAGTCCTGTCAAAGGGTACATGACCTGAGTCTCTACCTTGTCACTGAATGGCCCTCTGAATGAGAAACGCTTGAGGTGAATGACCAAGATGGGCGGTAGTCGAGACAGTGTGAGCCGTTTAGAAGCTCGTCGATTTGTTTTGCACTGGGGGCAGAACCTGCAGGCGATCATTGTTAGCAGTGGTCGATCCGATATCAAAAGAACGCACTGACCATGCATCGTCCTTGTCGAGAATCTCCTCTCGCACAAATGCACGGATACAATCTTCTAATGTCGCCCTTGAGGCACCTCGACCGGAAGGAATTGGTATCGACAATGGCATGAACGTCTGCAAGACAAAGTGTCAGGGCTACTGGTAAGAAGCGGGTCACTCTGAGAGCCTACATTATATGTTGTTGAAGTCTGCGGAGTCACGATGTCAGCCTCAATGGCAACAAGCCAGACACACTTCTGAACCCACCTTGCCACAAGTGAGACACTTGAGCTGATTCCTAAACTGGCCTTGAAAGCACTGTACGACAAAGCTGTCGTCTCTCATCCTGTAAATTTCCCACTCTCGCTCGCTCATAATCTGAGGTGGCAACGTTTCCAAGTCGTGTTCTCGATCAGGCGTCATATCAATCGGTGGTGGCTTCTTGACGACATAGTTCAAATCCTCGTGCAAACCATCGAGTAGGAAGCCAAGAAACTCCTGCGCGTCATGCTGATCAGACCCTTTGAATTGAGGTGCAAATCGACAAATGTTGTCTCGAAACGTGATTGGAGCCAGAAACGTGTAATTCTGTGCCCAGATTGCTCTGATGAGCTCTGAGACGGCATCCGCTAATGCCCCTTTGGTGCCATGCGGATTAAACGTATTGACATCTCGACGATAAGTTCGATCTGGTAATGACACACAGAACGTGAGCCGGCGAAAGCCTGTGCCTAGCTGAGGAACAAGACACTCACCTTTGAAGTATCTTGCAAATGGCACGGCGGCTGACAAGCATTGAATTGTTGAATTCATATAGCAAGTGTTGCCAAGATTCTTCAAACCTGTCAAACCAATTACATTGTCCTCGAAAGTCATCAAAGTAGGGAAAGCGGATCGTTGAGCCGAGTACGTCCCAATTGGCATGTAAGATCCAGAGTTGGAACGTTCAGGTGCAGGCTGAATCGCGGGCGGTCTCGTGACGGGTTCAGGTAATGGTGGCGGCGGGTGAGTTGGTTTGGTAACTCGAGCGATCGGTGCCTGCGGTGCCCGAGACTGCAATTGAGGATAGTCGATCGAAGACCTCGTGTATGGCTCGAACGACTGTTGTGAAACCATATGCAGATCGCCATAATCGCCTCGAGATCGCACGAGCGAGGTCATGGCTCCGGGTGTTGACGAGGAAGCAAGGCCGTTGATGGATGGCTGGTGTGGATACGGAGCGCCAGGCTGGTTAGGCGAGAAAGAAGAAGACGAGTAGCCCTCGAATATTGGGGTCGAGCCAGACCGTTGAACCGCTGTTGGAGGCATCGCCAGCCGAGGTGACAAGACGCCAGTGCCAGCGTTTGCACGCTCAGGCAGGTAGCCAGAACTTGGAAAGTAACCATTCTGCAGTGAGGCTCGATTTGGAGGGGAGCTAGGTCCGGCCTGCGAAAAAGCAAAATCAGCGTGACGATTGAGGCTTGAGCTCGGATGCAACTCACGTCGTCTCGATAATGCGGGTTCAGCTGAGGCGGCAAGACGGCGGCCCTCCTGTTTGCCTTCTTTGCGTCATCATGTGAGACTTGAGCCGATGATTGACGGTGCTGTTGGCCTCCTTGCGCCAACGTTGTCACGCCATCGACAGTTATTCCCTTCGGTCCAACGTAGGTCTCCCAAGCCTTCCAACCTCCCTTTAGCAACACAGGTTGACGTTTGAGGTGCTTGTAGAAATCTCGCTCGTATATTGCTGTCGTCAAATTCCACAACACTGTTTGAGACTCTGGTTCACTCGACGAAGGCTCTAAACCAGGCATGCTCATTGACGAACGATCGTACACGACGACCATGTCGTAATTGCCCCGAGCTGCAAACATATCTTGCTCATGATTTGGAGACAATGACAATGCCGATTCAATCTGCGACGACGTGATGCCACGTCGAAGCACGATAGGCTCCAAACAACAAGTCTCGCCAAGAACTCGACCATTGTCAAACTCTTCTCGACTTCTCACATCCAGGATCAACACTCTCGGACCTTTGCCTTTTTCTGCCTGAGCCGAAGTCAAATAGTCGTACAATTGTTGCGGTCCGACCTCGCTCGTGAATGGGATTGTGAAATTACTCGTCGACGAAGAAGCTGGTGGGGGCAATGGTTTGTGAACTTGCGCATGCGAGTTGGACCGCGACCTCGACCGTCCCTCAGTCGGTGGTTTTGGAAGCTCTCCTCGCGAGGTCGATTGGAGACTGTGATTAGGGCCACCTAATCGCGCAACGGCATCAGAGTGTGCACGTCTTTGCGATTCAAAGTCATTCATGTCAACTTCGAAAGGTCGAGGCGGTGGCGGTAGAGGCGGCTCTGAATGATATGTTGAACTATTTACGCTCGAGCCTGGCATCAAACGCTCAAAGTCGTCCAAGCTTGGAAAACTGCTGGCAAAATCTGTCGGCGAGGGCTGTCGCGGCTGTGACCGAGACAGTGAAGGCGACCCTGGTTCTCGAGTTGACTGCAGCGGCAGGCCATTGCTGAGCTCCAAACCTAGCGATGCAAAGGCTCCGTCGTCCCGCTGATCCTCTTCGTCTGTAACTGGGATTGCAGGCGGTGCGCTGCCAGACCGCTGCATTGCTGTGTCCTCGACTAGATCTCCTCTTGATTTCACCTGAGGTTTTGGTGTTGCTGGGGGTGACATTCTTGCATGACCGACGGACATTGCATCGATGGAGTGACCATTGACAGCTGGTCTTGAGGTTGAAGCAGCCTGAGTCGCCACTGGGTCGACCATCCCCTTTGATCGCAACGCGGCCATGCGCTCCTTGATAGAGCTCAGCGGAGGAGACTTGGCTGGTGCGGGGCTCGAGTTTGGAGTGCCCTTGTTGCTACTATAACTGATCAGGAACATGCAGTACGACTGGATGTCAGCTTGCTCGACGAGGCAATGCGAGACCGGATATTGTCTTCAGCTGACCTTGACACTGCCTCAGGCGCCACATTGCTCCCTGGAGACACAGCTCTACCGTTCGCATTATTAGCAGAAGTCATGCGCTGAAACGTTGGTGCTTGGGTTTGCCCTCGAGACGAGAGACCGATTGGTTGAGGGATCGGTCCGTTCCTCTGCACCCATTCTGCCTCTCTTCGCTCAAGGTACGCCTGAATCGACTTTTGAGCCATCTGAGCTTTGATAGCCAGCTGTATTCAGGTGTTTCAGCTTGAAGTGAGCTACATGGGTCTGACTGCGCGCGAAGTGACTCACTTGTTGCACCTCGTTCAAGACGACTCTGTCTGCGGGTCCGAGATCTTTGAAGCCTCTGTGCGTACTTGCACGCCTGTACAGTCTGCTCAGTGCAACGCGGGAGTGGGTCAGTCAGCCAACGCCTGGGCGATTCGAGCTATGACGACGATCTGGTCGACGCGAAGCTATTGCAGCTCGTGAGCTCCATTGGGCGGCTCAAAACTGCCGCTGTGTACAATGAGAGGACTATGCTGACGCCTTCGAGGTCACACTCGAGTGCTCAGGCTACAGCAGCGCGCGCGCGCTCTCTTGAGGGTTCGCAGCTCAATGGACTCACTCTGCTCCCTGTCTGACGGCTAAGAATGCTCCTTCAACTTGAGTAGGGTCACCGTCAGCTTTTTGACCGTTGTCCCACAACGTGAGTCCTCTCTTGAAAGAGTCCTTGGCCGCGTTGAGCCAAATTCTGACAGAGTACTCTTGAGGACCCACGACCTTGACGGCGCTCTGCTCCTTGAGAGTGGCGACAGGTGTCGGGATGGGAGCAGCAAGCCTCGGAGAGGCCATGCTCTCTTGCGCGAGTGTTTTGTAAGTTGGTGATGACGCTGTCGATGGGTTCTAGAAACAAAGGGCTCGGCTGTTGCTGCTGGGCCCCGCTGACCTTTTAAACAGAAGAGTGGATTTCGAGCAAATCGCTAATGCAGCACAACAGCATTCGAGTATACATGACTTTGTTCACCAACGTATAGCTCATGCGAATGTCAAATATTGGTTTCGTGGCTGCGGCTCAACCACTGCGGGTTTCTGAGACATTATTCGAGAAGAAGCGCCGAAACCACTCGATTGCCATCACGCAACACAGTACCTACTCGAGCCTCGACCTTGATGAGGCTGCGACAGGGCACGACGGCATGGTCATGGCTGTTGTGCTCCGTCTTGATCGTGTTGCGAGGTGTGACTGTCCACGCCAACAGGGCACCCATCCTCGATTCGTACGACCATTTGTCAGACAAGAACAACGCGTCACATATCTCGATTGATCCGGAAGATGGCTTCACGTGAGTTGGATTTGCTTATCTGCGAGACGTGTTGCGACGCGCTTTG